AAAAATTGAACCTTTCCTCCAAGTATAAAACATTATACAATATTGTAAAACATTAAAGACTAACATCTGATCAAACAGTCTTGCGTTTTGTAGCAAAATTGTGCCTATGGACTAGTTGCAAATTTATAAAATAAGCCTACTCGCTATTTTGCGCTGTACGTACATCCTGGTAAAATTGTGAATGGTTATGAAGAATTTGGAAATAATTTTTAAAAAGTTTGTACTGTTGTTTTCGATTTATTCTGACTGCTTTTTTCGGGTGTTGGTGCATGGAATTAAATTGCAACCTTGCCATATCCTTTAATTAGAAAATTAATCTAATAATATTATTGTTGTTAGATCCCTTGTCTACATCTTTTAAGTAAATATAGTTTTGGAAACATCTGTTAAATCACTTATCAAAGCCTTCATTGTAACATATAATTGATATAATGTACTTTTTGTTATTTATTAACTAATCCAACGCTTATTTTCAAAGTTTTACCATAGTAACTACCCAAATCATTTATCAAACTTTTAAACCGAAGAGTTGTTAGTTTTACAATTCTGTTGTGTAATTAATGCTTCCAAACTAAGGTCCAACTTTGGTCGTTATAGTTCTCAGACAAAAGTGTAATTTCACCTACAGTATCTCTAATAATCTTAACGAGCTATTAATCATCACAAAGATAGCTCTCCAGGAATTCTTCATTATCGCCAACAACTTTGAGCATCGTGGTCGTCAACATCGTTTAAGTTCGAAACTTTTTCTTAATCCAACCAAACTCATTCATTATCACATAATTTACCTTCGAATGCTACTTGATTCTGTCTGAGCCTTCTAGGAATTGGTAAATTTATTATTTATCGAAACGAGTAAAATCGAAGAATATATTGGAGTAGTAGGCCTAGTTAATTTTTTATCTGCCTCGATAAAGACTGTTTACGTTTTATCACCTGATACTAAACATTTCTTTATGATTAAGATTCTAAAAATCTATTGAGATGTACAATAGTGCATTCGACTACATTCTATTTTCTTTATTTTCAAACCAGGTTAACGCTAGAAGCCTTAAAAGGTTCATATAGGGATACTTTGTTTTCATTTAGTTTACAATTTGATTTATTAAATCACGGAAACGTAAACGCTCATGGATAACACATTGCACGACGAAAGAATGGCACAATCCGATGAGGAACCACATTATTATTTGAAATATTTATCAAATAAAAAAACACTGTACAACAACTTTGGATAAAAACAAGACTTATAGAAATGATCACAGAACACGTAACAGATACTTTATGGCTTGCAAAACCTAATCATTTGAACAAGATAATGTTCAGTTTTTCGTCTGACTTGTCTTATTACAACACTGTAACGAATTTCAGAGATATAAAACACAGTAATAAGTTAGGAATAAAGTAAAATTCCAAGAACAAGAAATGGCACAGGCAAGGCGAGGTGAATGTTTATCTATGAGGAATGCGAAGGTCAAAACGTCACAACTTACTCGCTTCTGTTTGCCAAGCAAAGTGATAAGAAAACTACTGAGTAATATTCTGATAAGATTCTTCATAGGTTAACCAATTTGTTGGTGTCGATTGGTTTGAAAAGACTTACTGACAATTGTTATAGAATGCTTATTGGACAGTTCGAATATACCAATTAAAAACTGTTTTCCAATATTGGTTCTGTGATTTAAAAACGAACCGACGAGACTGTCATTGTAGGGATTGACAAGAATTGATTAGTTAGTAATTAGGTCAGTTTTTTTAAATTAAAAGGTTTGTCTGTTCACCAATTTTGGGTGGAGTGAACGCATTTTGGTGAACCATGACGGAAAATAGCACATAGTTTATCTATAATGAATATTTAAATTGTTTGGTCAATCCTTGTCAAATTTTATGTTCTTTACAGTGCAACAATTTGATGTTAGATTCCATAACCTTATCTAGAAGGCCACAGCGAAATAAAAGTGGCAACGCCGCAACTCCGGCCTACCAACACATCTGTGGCATTACGTTTGTTATGTCTTGTTACCTTAGCAACAGGCCGGTGCGACGTTGCCACACCGACCACGGCTTTGGATAGAGGAGGCCAGTAGGTGCTGAGTATTTGAAATTAATTGAACTCGGGCTGATCAATGGCTACACTTGTCTTTGTTATTGTATTATTTGTAGGTTACAGGTAAAAAAGTACATATATGGTTTGTACATTTTGATATGACAATCTCTCTTGCATTTCTGCAGCTCTCACAATTAACCGTTTCCATACCAACCAAGCACGAGTGCGCACAGAAACGTTTAATTTGGTTAATTTGCACACTGCACACCCACAACTGCGAAATACCGAGTTAATTGTGCCTTTCCTCGTTCCACGTTCGCACTAACCAATGAGTTAGCGAGTTAAGCGAGTTAGTGAGTTAGTGCCGCTCTACATGTCAAGGTATAATACCATGAATCGCCTTTAGATAGGTGAATTGGCAATTCTCATGCGATGGAATATTAGATGGGGATTTCTAATATACAGGGTGATTGATATAAGTGTGCCAGCTGTTTTTTATTCGAAAACTATAAGAGATATCAAAAAAGTTAAAGGGTAAGTGCCTTGGATTTTCGATTTAAAAATTTATGGTCAAGTCGAAAAAAATATTTTAGCCGCCGTTTTTCCAATATGGCCGCCAACTTTGATTTTTCTTATGGAACACCCTGTATTTTATGATGTAATCCGGTAGAAAATGTAATTTTAAGACAATTTTACTCTTGTGTTTTTTTGTTCATAAACCTAACCGTTTCAAAGATAATAATGGTTAAAGTTGTGAAATTTTGTGAAATAGTTTTCGAATAAAACAGCTGGCATGCTTGCTTATTGTTTTATCGAAACTCTTTCTCATGCCGAAATTTCAAAACTTTAACCATTATTATCATTGAAACGGTTAGGTTTATGAAAAAAAAACACAAGAGTAAAATTGTCTTAAAATTACATTTTCTACCGGATTACATCATAAAATACAGGGTGTTCCATAATAAAAATCAAAGTTGGCGGCCATATTGGAAAAATGGCGGCTAAGATATTTTTTTCGACTTGACCATAATTTTTTTAATCGAAAATCCAAGGCACTTACCCTTTAACTTTTTTTGATATCTCTTATAGTTTTCGAATAAAACAGCTGGCACACTTATATCAATCACCCTGTATACATTCACTTTTTCAATGAAGTACTTGCTATTATAGTTCACGTAAATAGATTTGACTAACGTTATCTTCTGAAGTCGTATAGATTTGAGTTACAATTGCACACGTTGTTTTGACGTTTGTTGTATTGCTTTTAATAATCACTAAAATTCTCGGGAAACTGTGATAAACAAAAATAGGCTACTGTGATTTGTTGGCAGCATCTCATTGTTTAACCTGCTTAACTCTTCTTTTTAAAGCATTAAGTGCTAGTTGTTAACTGCTTGTTTTATATTTTCTAATTAAAATAAAATGACGTATTTTGTACTCTGAAACGTTAGTAAACCATCCTATCCAGTATTATTACTGTAAAAATATTGTAATTTTAAGAAATGTGTTTAGCATAAACGTGTTTATTTTGTTCGTAAAAAAGACATTCGATCTCAATAATTCTGGGCCTTGAAGTTTAACGTTGTCACACAAAATACAACTAGGAATATTCTAATTCAAAAGGGGCAACGGTTATTCTCCCAGAACAAACTAAGTGGAAAACCTAATTCGTGTCGAGAGAACTGTTTATTAAATTTAACAGTCCATTGATTTTCAATCAATTAATTTCTAAAAGCTAATTGATTTCAACACTTCAAATAACTTCATTGACCTCCGACATGTGATACTGGAACTTTGGCACAGTACGTAATGGCCAAGATAACCTACAGATATTCTCCCCACTTTGATATTTTAATAACGTAACATTTTGATAGTGTAGTTATACCATTCAACGGCTGTGAAAAGCAGTTCGACAAACGGTTGCACATGCAATGGCCGTAAAATCCGTTTTATTTGCATCAGTAATGCAAGAGCTTATTTCTCGCCGATATTTGAGTGTTTTCACGATGTTAAGTCAGTTTCAATAGGTTTTCAAGTTTACAGTCACATGAAATGAACGTGTAAACGAGTAGGCATTTACTGTAGGCTATACACTTTTTTATAACTGTTCGAATACGATAGAGTTTTTTGGAAATGAGATTAATTGGAGTCTGAAAATATTTTTGGTTGAATGTAACATATATTAGTGTAATTAGGACGTTTGAAATAATTCAATAACATAATTAGGTGTTAGAACAATAGGTTATATATTTAATATATTTTAATATATAATTAGCTAAGTGTAAGAATGGAATAGTCTCAGAATCCTGAGGCACACAATTAAGGATATTGTCTACTTCTTGGATTAAAAACGCTAGCTAATGAAACATTTAGAGCATTGTATGGTTTGTCTTTCCTACGTCTTGGGTTTTGGATCACAAAGATTTAATAAAATCTTAAAGAGGGTTACCTTAAATTTAAACAGGAAAAAAGCTTGTCTAGCCACGATCATTTTGTGACACCTTAATCTTAAATCCCCTTTTTTTTGTTGATGTTATTTTTATATATATACTATTATGTTATTAGTTGCATCTTTTTTGTCAATGTGGTCTGAAACTTATGTCTTAACCAGCCATCCTATGCTAATATACCTTTTTCTTTTGTCTTCCTATTGTCAATATTATTTTAGATAGTAATGTAATTGTCAATAGCTATCAATTTACGCAGGTAACAAAAAAAATACTGTTATTGCGTACAATCCCCAATACACTTGTTATCGTTTTGTTATGTATTAGATATTGACCCATTCCAAAACATGTCGATGCATTGTAAAATGGCGTAGCAGTTGAGAGAGATAAATAATCAAATATGTAGAATGTGCTCGTTAATAGCTAACGTTTACAAATTAAAGAAATGAACTAATGTTAGTGATTACTACTCTTAGATTCTACATTGTTGACATGCATGTACTGACCTGGTCGCCGCTTGCCCGGTGGCAGTCTAGGGTGGTGGTGTGGACAGTAGTGGGACGTATCCTTGTATCCATCGGGGGGACTGAGAGTAACCTGGTCCACGAACTCCACTGGAGGCTCAAACGCGGCACAAAGATCGAACTTCGGACTGGGAGGCTCCTGGAAACTCTCCTCGTCCTCGTCATCCTCGTCACAACACTCGTCGTAGCAGAAGTCTTCACCACAATCACAACCGCCGAACTCGTAGTCGCCCTCGAAGTCGTCGGGCTCCTCGCGAATCAGAATCACGTAATCCGCGTCGAAAAACTTATTCAACGACTCGTCAAATTGAACGCGGTGTTTCTTCTTGGACTTTTTCGTCGAACCTCTTTTCAACGCGGATTTCAACACTCCTCTATGATACCCGTTGCATAGTTCACTTGAGGCACCGACCGCTTCCTCCTGGTTTCTATTTTCCTCGTGTTTCTTCTTCTGCTTCATCTCGTCCTCGGAGCTATCCTTGGTCTCCTCGTTGAAACTGAAACTGGTTACAGCCTCGTGGGCGTGGACGTTGAATTGGAATAGGTTTTCTGTTTTGAAATCTGTCTGACCGAACACATTGCTTGACACGCACTCGCTTTGTTTTTCGTTCACTGGATCACTTTCAATTTTGCTTGGGTTGTTTTCAGATTTTTCTTTTTCTTGGTATTTCAATAGGAAACTCTCGAACTTGTTCACCGGTTTTGTCACACTGAGTCCTCTCGCGTGAGGGTAAATCAAAGGCAGATTTTCAAGCGCATTTGTCGTTCTTTTTATGGGAAATAAATCTTTCAAACTCGGTTTAGGTGTTTCGTCACTTTCGCTCACTTTTACCTCGTCTGACTCCTTAGCCGGACTTTCATCCCTTTTATCTTCACTTTCAGCAGATACATCGTTATCACTATTTTCTAACTTATCACAGTTCGACTCTACACTAGCACGGCACTCCTCGGCATCACTCAGGGTTTCTTTATCACTACTGTCTACTCTGGTCTGCGACTCCTCGTTATCACAGCTGGTATCAGCATCGACAGCTCCACTCCCGTCGTCATGGTCCTCGGAGCACTTGCACCCACTGTCCACCTGTATCTCGCGGTCCACTAGCAGCGGCTTCACCTGTATCACTGTGTCCAGAGAGGCCCCTTGGAGAGAGTCGTTGTCACTGTCGCTCTCGGCCTCCTGACGCAGCGTCTGCCAGGCATGTTGACTGGGGGCTGGCGGGTAGGTACTGAGCATCGCTGCGCCGACGGACGGCTGACTCGCCGCGCCGACGGTCGATAGCGCTATCCAACTCCCACACTCCCGACCTCCCTCCTCACTCCCTACCTCTCCCTCCTCCTCCCCACCGCCAACCACACCTAATGATAACTCGTCACTATCGCAACAACTGATCCAGTTTGACGCCGAGGTTATTCCGGGGATTAAATTGCTCCGGAATTCCTGCAGTATTTCCAAACTCGATTCGAAAATTTCCTCCTTTTTCTGCATCTCTAAGAGGTTTAGGATAGGGTTTGATTTTTGTTTGAATATTTCCTTCTCTGATGACTCGGTTTCGCACTTCTCGACACTGGTGTCTGAGTTCAAAGAATCCTCGCTCTCTGTAGTTTTCGAGTAGTTTTGCAAATTCGAATCGTTTGACAGGATATTCGAGGGGTTTTCATCTCCGGTTTCTGTTACATACACAGTGCTGTCGCAACTGGTGTAATCTTCGTTGTCCAAATCAGAACACGATTCTTCCTCAATGATATCGTGTAAATAAAACATATTAGTATAATCTTTGTCAATCTTTGTACTATAATTTCCGTGATCATAATTACCATTCAATTTGTCACACATGTCAATTTTTGAATTATCAGAATCATCATTTTCCATCTCATCTGAATCCGAACTGCACGAATCTTTATCCGAATCAGTCAAGTCATTTTCGAAATATGGTACAACTTGATCGACTTCATTTTTCGACGATGATTTCTCAGAGTCGCAGAGCTCGTGTTCCAATTTACTGACTTCATTGGCAATCATGTTTTCCGTCAACACGGGCGGAATTACGTTTAGCTTGTTTCCACTCGGATTGACGGCGTTTTCCAAACACAGCGGTAAATTGGATTGCCGCATTTCTCCAAGGATCGATCCATCTGAGCCATCCCCGTCGTTGTGGTCGCTGTCGCACCTGTCTAATGCACTTTGCATATCTACGGATTCCTTACTTCCACTGATTTCCTCACCTTGAGCCAGATTTTCTTTGTCAGACTCACTAACACTTTCCATTTCCTCGATTTTTTCAGTATCAAATGAATTCTCACATTGTATATCTGAACATTCAGACGAGATTTCCTTAGATAGATCACTCATATTTTCCTCTTGTGAGCACCCCTCTTTTTCCAATACATATTTCTGTTTATCTTCGCTTATCCCAGCATGCGGTGATATTGAATCGTCCTCAATACCTTCATTTTTGCCGATATTGCCTCTGCTACTGCTCTCCACATCACTCCCCGCAGTCTCTTTCTCCTCCACATCGGCTTTCCCCTCCTTGAACGTTACTCGGATTGTCACGTCATCTGTAAACAGTACGTCGATTGACAAGCCTTCCTCGTCCAATGGCGACACGTCGTCGGGTTCGCTACACTTTCTATTCTGGTTCACGTCTTCTTTGAAATGTACTTTTCGGCGAGGCGCGTTGTCGCCAGTTAATCTGCCGTGTTTTTCTTTTTCTTCACTATTGTTCTCCTCTCGCGTAACAATAGCGTCTCCTTCTAAACTAAATTCTTTTTGTTTTATTACAACGTCTTCCTGGTCTTTCACGGTAAGCCCGGACGTCAAGGCGATTCGTTCGTGGTCGCTTTCACTAACTAATATTTCCAAACCTTCAAGAGAATCAGGACTATCCACGTCATTTTCCCCCGTTTCCAAAGGAGCTCTTGGACTCAGCAGTGAATCATCACATGTAAACTCATCCTCTTCTACTATATCCGGAATATCGTCTCCACTAGAACTGCCTTCCTTGCCGAAATAAGTTCTCGATTCAGAAATCGATTCTTCGTAGCTACTGTAGTCTTCTTTTAAGCTCTCTGTACATATTTGTCTGAAGTCTTTCTCTTGAACTTCACCTTTGGCTTTTTGTACGGCCTTCTTCTTTTTCCACACATAATTGTAGTTCTGGGAATCGTCATCGATGTATTTCATTTTGTCATTTTCCATCATTTCAAGTTAAGACAGTGCATTCGTACGCTGCAATGTATTCGACATGTTTAGGATCATCTGTGATAGTCGGATATGACTTATCAAAGTGTTTGTTTTGATAAAGTTTCTAAAGAGGACTGCAAACTCTCGAACGCCAGAAGCTGAAGTGGCTCTCAATAGGCTGTGCTCATCTCCGTCTTAATGACTCTCGGGGAACATCTTCCTGAAACAAAAGAACCGAGTTAGTTTCCTCTAAATCATCACCACCTTCCGACAACAAGACATTTTAATGAGTTTTCCAACAGCCTGGAGATTGTCAAAGAATGATTAATATTTTCTTTCTGGATCAATGAACCGTGACGACGTTCCGTCTAAACTTTAACTAGAGTTGTCAAATTAAATGAGAGGCATCCGCTGTAATTATCTTCCATGCTTGACATTATTATTTATAACTTAAATTGGTATGTGTACATAACCACAAACATACTACATATTGATTTTTGGAGGAAATGAGTAGCAAATCAAAGTTTTGTGTTAGGAAGCCTATACATAGATTTACGTACAGCACTCATACGACAGTTTTTCCTATTACTCCGATTCCATGCCGAATAATCAAATACTGTCATTTTACACTCTAAACAACCAATCAATGCATACGTCAGATGATATTTGATTAGTTAGAGGTCTTAAAAACTTATACGGAAATTATGAAACTTTCACATTTTGTATTATCTCGTTGATATCCATATACTTTTTGTTAATAATGCTTAAATTAAGTGTTTCATCGTGAAATAACCATCGCAGTAATAAACCGTAATTCCAAGAACACTGTAATAATATTTGCTTTGCTTAACTATTATTAGAACTAGACGAAAACTCGACCAAAAATATGTAATTTATAGACTTCTCCATTTCCCTTACACGCTGTAAATAAAACATCTGATTGGAATTTCTTCCATTTTTTATGTTATTTTTTCGCCAGCATGGCAACCCATAAGGCCCACGTTAATTTTTAAAAATTTAAGTTCACTTTTAGTTTTTATTTTTGAACCTATTTCAATTTAGGGATTCTGCACATCTACAGGAAAATATATTTCTAACAGAAAGCTTAGATTTTTCCATTATTGCACACGAGCTGAGAAAACAGGTTTCCAAGAAACACTCTTGCCTATAAATATATATCATGATGATGATAATTGGTTCCTAAATATTCTTATGACGTACTCTAAGCTAAAAATAACCGCTACAATAGGTTCACAACCAAGTTAGCACGTTCCGAGACCGGATTAGGTGTATGTTGAAAGTAGGTGTCTGTGTCTAGTGCGTGCAGCTCCAACAATAGCATGTTGTACTACAATGAGTCACCTAGGTCATGAACAGCTGATCGCGTGTACCAACCTAACAGAAACACTGTGCAACGTTGCACAAATCACAACACAGGGCGGCATGGCGAGACCACAGTTGTTTATACGTGTGTTGCATTTTGAATGCATTCGGATTAGACATTTGAATTGTTTTTAGTTTTGAGACATTTTTCCAGAATGTGTTCCAATGGTCATTACTGCATGTTTTTCATTTGAATTTAATTATGACACCAGCTTTAACTCCCGAGCTCTACATGAATTATCGTTGAGGTTATGATCCAAAGAGTAATAGTCTCTAGCAGTGTGGTTACTTGAAAAAGTCATTAGATGTATGGAAGTACTAGTATTTCATCACTAGGGCCTAAAGTGACTCTTTTTGTCTGTGTGGTGAACTATATTTCTCGTCATATTGCATCATTAACAAATAAAGCTACAAACCGAAATAATTTGTATCTAAAGATAACCTCTCAAAACGACTTCCAGCTTGTTTCAATTCTGCTAATGTAAATAAACAGCCGTTTAGTTTGCTGTATGTCGAGCAATCGACAACAATAGGCTAAAACCTTACCAAATAAATCAATCCATAAATAGTTTCGATCTATACGATTGCCACAATCTAAATTTACTATTGTGTACAACAGCTGATTTTTATTCCCTAAAGGCTAAAAATGATTTTTACTCCCTAGAGAGTAAAAATGCTACTTTAGACCCGCAACGCATGTATTAAAAAAGGCTGTTAAAAAGGGTGTGTGTGTGTGTGTGTGTAAAAAAGGCTGCAGTATGACGAAAAATATTTTATTATTTAAACTCGAGGAACTCAGAAAATTGAAATACAATTAAAATGTTTTTCTGTTTTAAGACAACAATATTAAAATGTGTAAACTGACTAATTAATTGGTTCCAAGGCAGTTTGAGACGGACAATCCAAAGGAAATCATGCTTTCTATTCGGAAGCAGAATGTGGGTCTTAGTCTACGTCTACAAATACGAAAAAAAACATTAAATTTTATAATCCTATAATATTGCTTTTGTTTGAGAAGGTAAATCAAAACCGTAAAGTGATTCTCATAACTATTTCAGCGATCGGTTACATAGTATTAAATTCCTACAGTATCTACTACTTGATACCAAAGTCATCGCGTAGGATAGTTTCTGGTCACGTCCGCTCAGGATGCCACTTCGTCAACTTCTGGTGACGGACGTGACTTGGCAACACCGCTTCTCCGGCGATGTTCACTGTACACTGTTCTGTCTAGTTGCAACAATGTGCAATTCCTACAGCTTATACTTGACACCAATGTCGTCGCGTATGATAGTTTCTGGTCACGTCCGCTCAGGATGCCACTTCGTCAACTTCTGGTGACGGACGTGACTTGGCAACACTGCTTCTCCGGCGTGTTCACTGTACACTGTTCTGTCTAGTTGCAACAATGTGCAATTCTAGTTCCTCAGTTGATACCAATGTCGTCGCGTATGATAGTTTCTGGTCACGTCCGCTCAGGATGCCACTTCGTCAACTTCTGGTGACGGACGTGACTTGGCAACACTGCTTCTCCGGCGTGTTCACTGTACACTGTTCTGTCTAGTTGCAACAATGTGCAATTCTAGTTCCTCAGTTGATACCAATGTCGTCGCGTAGGATAGTTTCTGGTCACGTCCGCTCAGGATGCCACTTCGTCAACTTCTGGTGACGGACGTGACTTGGCAACACTGCTTCTCCGGCGTGTTCACTGTACACTGTTCTGTCTAGTTGCAACAATGTGCAATTCTAGTTCCTCAGTTGATACCAATGTCGTCGCGTATGATAGTTTCTGGTCACGTCCGCTCAGGATGCCACTTCGTCAACTTCTGGTGATGGACGTGACTTGGCAACACTGCTTCTCCGGCGTGTTCACTGTACACTGTTCTGTCTAGTTGCAACAATGTGCAATTCTAGTTCCTCAGTTGATACCAATGTCGTCGCGTAGGATAGTTTCTGGTCACGTCCGCTCAGGATGCCACTTCGTCAACTTCTGGTGATGGACGTGACTTGGCAACACTGCTTCTCCGGCGTGTTCACTGTACACTGTTCTGTCTAGTTGCAACAATGTGCAATTCTAGTTCCTCAGTTGATACCAATGTCGTCGCGTAGGATAGTTTCTGGTCACGTCCGCTCAGGATGCCACTTCGTCAACTTCTGGTGATGGACGTGACTTGGCAACACTGCTTCTCCGGCGTGTTCACTGTACACTGTTCTGTCTAGTTGCAACAATGTGCAATTCTAGTTCCTCAGTTGATACCAATGTCGTCGCGTAGGATAGTTTCTGGTCACGTCCGCTCAGGATGCCACTTCGTCAACTTCTGGTGATGGACGTGACTTGGCAACACTGCTTCTCCGGCGTGTTCACTGTACACTGTTCTGTCTAGTTGCAACAATGTGCAATTCTAGTTCCTCAGTTGATACCAATGTCGTCGCGTAGGATAGTTTCTGGTCACGTCCGCTCAGGATGCCACTTCGTCAACTTCTGGTGATGGACGTGACTTGGCAACACTGCTTCTCCGGCGTGTTCACTGTACACTGTTCTGTCTAGTTGCAACAATGTGCAATTCTAGTTCCTCAGTTGATACCAATGTCGTCGCGTAGGATAGTTTCTGGTCACGTCCGCTCAGGATGCCACTTCGTCAACTTCTGGTGATGGACGTGACTTGGCAACACTGCTTCTCCGGCGTGTTCACTGTATACTGTTCTGTCTAGTTGCAACAATGTGCAGTTCTAGAATCTCAGTGGTGAGAAACGCGCGATTTTGTAAGACTTGGAACAACGTACGATGCGGTATTTGTTCATGGAGATCTTGCTTTATTCAAAACATCTGATGGACGAGTGTTAAGCCTTTTGGATAAGACAATTTAAATAACAATTTTAATTTCATATGCTAGTTTACGTGTGAAACTTAACAACGGTGACGTATAGTATGAAATAAATTTTTTTTTTCTTTTTGAAAGTATGTCCTATATTCTTTTCTACTTTCAAAAACCTTAAATATTTGAAGTACTAAATACTTTTTTGTTTGCGTACCTACTTGTTCTGTTGTGTACATGTTATATTGTATAGTTCACCAAGCTTTTGTTTTCCTTTAAAACATAAAATACAAATTAAATTAGATGTAAAAATTAAATAGTTGCTCTGGGGTTAATTTAAACCAATTATTTTTACCCTAAACATTGAAAACTCTATATCCTATATATTAATAGGCAAGCATGTTTCTTGATACCTTTTTTCTCAGGTCGTGTGCAGCACGGGGAAAATCTATGCATACTGTTAGAAAGATATATTTCTGTAGATGTGCAGAATCCCTTTATAAATTAAAATAGGCTCAACAATAAGCACAAAAAATTAATTTAAAATTTTAAAAACATTAACATGGGCCTTGTGGGTTGCCTTGCTGGAGATGACATAACAACGAAATATAAACAGAAAATCAATACAAATGGAAGAAATTCCAATCACATTTTTAATTTACAGCAATGGATTAAAATGGAGAAGACTGTAAATTCATTTTTTTGGTCAAGTTTTCGACCACTGGACGACTCGAGTATTTTATTCATGTACAACCAAATAAAAATTCGTTATCTTACGTCGACACATTTTTAACACTACAGCAAACACAGCAAAAAAATATTGTTTATCTGAATTAGTCACTAGCCTATCAAACAAGACACTCTTCCCTTTTTGATTTTTGCACAGCTTTCTTCTTACAAATTATCTTTTTTAGGAGTACAGCAAGTTAAAACAAGGCCGAAGTACAATTTATTATAGGACAATTTAATCTATTCCACAATTGAAGGCTTGAATCATCACAGGAAACGGCAACTCTGAGCC